CTGTTCCCTGGCCTCCACGTTCCCCTGACCTTAACCCCCTGGACTATTTTTTGTGGGGTCAACTTAAGGCAAAGGTTTATAAAATTCCAATTGAGACCATTCAGCAACTACGGGAGGAAATTGAAACCGCGTGCATGAAAATAAGGCAAACACCTAGAATTTTCCAAAGAATTTGCAAATCATTGAAGTATCGAGCTAGATTATGCATCGAAATGCAAGGTGGTCACTTCGAGCAGTTCTTGTAATTTAACTTATTATTACTAATTTTAATCCCATTATTTTCTATTTCACATTTAGCTATTGTCTGCAGTAGTAATTAGTTCTTTAATTAGTAAGTGTAACTCTAAATTTAAATAGTCTTAGTTTATGTCCTAAATTATTTATTAAATGATCGGATCCTTTATAACTGCAATTTCTTTGAAAAAAAAAACAGTTTTGTTTGAGCCCTTTTAAGGGCATATAACTTCCTAAGGGTGCGTTTTAGGGCACATGTTAATATGAACTTTTTGGCTTATTTTAATGAGTTATAAACGCAACAGAAGTTTGGAACCCTATTTTAGAAACACCCTGTATAGGTAAGTTTGGTTAAATTACTATATTTTGGACACCCCTACATTTTCTGACGCGCAAAAACCAGTGTCATGTAAACCCTTTCCAGGCACCCATGTAGATTCTTCTCCTGCCAAAAGGGTTATTTTTATTCAACTAGTTTTGCTAAACCAAAAATCTCACACTGAAAAAAGAAGACAAATAAAAAATACACGTCACCTCAATTATTACAGTTAACGTTTCTAAAAAATCAAATTTTTTTCATTATCAAAACTAACGTTGCTATTTTAATTTGACAGTTTAAATTTGATTGTTTTTATCTATAGGTATTCATTTATCTATTTTTTTATTTGTTTTGCACACCTTGTATACAATAATAAACAAGTGTTTATTAATAGAATTTTTCTGTCTTTGTGTTTTGTGTTTATCTGCTTTATTACCTGTTTGAGGAACCGGTGTATTCGACGGAACGTTTTTCTCCAGGCATACTACGCGACAAAGGGATGTACTGATTTCCCTAAATTCGTAGGGCCTTTTCCCGTTACTATTTCCCAGATTCAGTTGCTTTAACACTAAACGTTTTTGGTGTGAGTTTAAGTCGTGATATGAATATTTTTTTACACCTAGAAATTAAATATTAAAAGGTGAATTTAAAACATCATCTTAAAAACGACTAAAAATATATTTTGGAAAGTGTTTGTTAAATTTTATAAAATCAGTAAATTTTTTAACTACGCCTTAATCAAAGTGGTCCAATATTCTTAGATAAGATGAATTTTTAATAAACACATAATTTAGTCAAAATAATAATATGCGTTCATCTCAGATTTTTCCCATTCTATAAACTGCAATATCAAAATTTAAATCTTTGTTTTTATTTTGAGTTGAGGTGCTAATAATTTTTAGAAAAAACTGTCATAACAAAATATAGGAGGGACAAAAAACATAAAGAAAGCCCCTAGGACATTTAAATAAAGGGGACTATGCATGTTACAGTCTATCTCATATGTTGGGTGAAGCTAGACAAGGGGAAAGCAGAGGGCTTTATTTTCATCCAACTGATGCGCGCGACTACATCTCCAATGTCGTACATTTTGGATGGGTCAAAATAAAATATTTTATAGTCCTAAGTCAATATATTTCAACAGCTACTCAGTATTTTTATAATAAATATATATAATATTTTTATAACTTCTTGGAATCCCAATAACTGTAACCATTTCTTTCTTGTTGCACCATCCCCAAGCATCCTAAAAACGTTCACATTTCACTTTTAGAATACTGAGGCAAATTTTCAGTGAGACATAAAAATATATTCCCAAAGGAGAACATCAAATGGTTGAATGAATGCAACTTTCAGTTGATTGCATCTTCGGTATTTTTATGTATAAGTGAACCACCACCATATTTTTGCTGTTGTATTTATTCAGTTTTTATGCTCGTGCATTTAGTAAAATTGTAAATATATTTTTGAAAAGGTTTTTGTCGTAGAGGAAAATGAAAATGATGAATGATTAAAATTTGTAATGTTGGGTNATTGGAACACTTTGATTAAGAAGTAGTTCAAAAATTTTCTGATTTTATAAAATTTAAAACACACTTTTCCAAAATATATTTTTAGCCGTTTTTAAGATGATGTTTTAAATTCACTTTTTAATATTTAATTTCTAGGTGTAAAAAAATATTCATATCATGACTTAAACTCACACCAAAAACGTTTAGTGTTAAAACAACTGAATCTGGGAAATAGTCACGGAAAAAGGGCCTACGAATTTAGGGAAATCAGTACATCCCTTTGTCGCGTAGTGTGCCTGGAGAAAAACGTTCAATCAAATACACCGGTTCCTCAAACAGGTAATAAAGCAGATAGACACAAAGCACAAAGACAAAAAATTCTATTAATTAATAAACACTTGTTTATTATATACAGGGTGTGACATTTAACACTCCCGCTGCCAATATCTCCGAAATGAAGAAATTCATTTTAGTTCCGGAAACTGAGGTTGTTAGGTCACTCGAATAGCTTCAAATTGTAGTTAGAACTGTTAGTTCAAATCTTTCTGTTCCAGGGATCAAAAAATTTGTTAGTACCGCCAGGCCATCTATACAGAAAGATTTGAACTAACAGTTCTAACTACAATTTGAAGCTATTCGAGGGACCTAACAACCCCAGTTTCCGGAACTAAAATGAATTTCTTCATTTCGGAGATATTGGCAGCGGGAGTGTTAAATGTCACACCCTGTATATAATAAACAAGTGTTTATTAATTAATAGAATTTTTTGTCTTTGTGTTTTGTGTCTATCTGCTTTATTACCTGTTTGAGGAACCGGTGTATTTGATTGAACGTTTTTCTCCAGGCACACTACGCGACAAAGGGATGTACTGATTTCCCTAAATTCGTAGGCCCTTTTTCCGTGACTATTTCCCAGATTCAGTTGTTTTAACACTAAACGTTTTTGGTGTGAGTTTAAGTCATGATATGAATATTTTTTTACACCTAGAAATTAAATATTAAAAAGTGAATTTAAAACATCATCTTAAAAACGGCTAAAAATATATTTTGGAAAAGTGTGTTTTAAATTTTATAAAATCAGAAAATTTTTGAACTACTTCTTAATCAAAGTGTTCCAATATTCTTTGTATTGAGATCATGAGGTCAAGATAAGATGAATTTTTTAATAAACACATAATTTATTCAAAATAATAATATGAGTTCATCTCAGATTTTTCCCATTCTATAAACTGTAATATCAAAATTTTAATCTTTGTTTTTATTTTGAGTTGAGGAGCTAATAATTTTCAGAAAAAACTTTCATAACAAAATGTAGAAGGGACAAAAAACATGAAGCAAGCCCCTATCTTTATAATAAAATGGACAGAGGAATGCTTAATGCTTAATTAAACCGTCTTAATTTGACTTATAATATGTGATAGTTCCTTGTTTTCGGAATATTGAGACACACTGTATACCTATGCACATTTTATGTCATTACCTCTCATAAAAATAACCTACTTATATTTTTACTTGCTTTTGAAATCTTCTTAATATAGCTTCTTTTGGATGCAGAATGCTCCTTTTTTATTTTTTTAATTAATTTTTTGCCAGTTTGGGTTTTGACTTCATTTGCTGCCTTAGCCTTAAGTTTTTGCTGTTTCTTTCGTGAGTCTGTATTATGACGAGGATGTTCCTTTTTTATTTCTTTAAGGGACTTTTTACCATTCTGGTTCAATGGTTTCCTCGAGGACATATTTGTCAATGTTGGTTTTGATGTTACCTGTTAACAAATTGTTTCTACAAGCAATTTCTGATATATTCTTTGGGTACCTACCTTAACGGAGCCTTTGGGGGATTTTGTAATATTCTTTGTGGATTTTGGTGAAGTGGATGTGGTATTAGAATTTGGGAAGATTATTATAATCGGACAAAAAATAGAGCATCTTTGAATTTCGTTACCAATTTTTACATTACTTCTATGGTGACCATATTTTTTGCTTACAAGCGGTGAGTGTTTCAGTTCTTGCAAAAGATGAGGCTTTTCGGAAGGTAACTCTATAAAAAAGGTAGTTTTCTGTGGTCATTACGGATATTTTTGATAATATCAGTATTGGTTTGCTACTGCAGGCAAACTTACTAAACGTAAAGAGAAATATATTTCTTTACCTCTTATACCGAAAATGGTTTGAACAGCTGTTACTAAAACAAATATGGCTAACCATAATTTTTCCATTTCACTGCACTTGTGCACCTATACGTTATAAACTTTCAATATTTACCGAATAAAACGGTTATTTCTTTAAGTTTGTTGAAACGTGAATATTTACATAAATATGTTAAAAGATATGACAAAATTTTTAGAATTTGTAGGCTATACCTCAGTAGATTGAACGGAATATTAATGCGAAAAAAAAAGTGTAGGAAGCTAATTCAAATTACTATTAAAAATTTTCCTAAATTGTCGTGTATTTGGGCTGGCTTCAGGATTGTCTGCTTTTGCGGCTCAAATGGTCGGCTTGGCGATATTCATTGAATTTTCAACTTTCATATAAAACGCATATGTGCGATAATATTTATAAAAGCACATACGAAAAGTTTTTAAAAAACCTACCAAATTCAATTTTTGTTGTTGTTACATTATGCATAGTTTTGCAGCTAACGCTTGTTGACTTTAACACTCGATATCTTGGAACTTAGACGACCGATTTGAACGTCCTTTTTTCAAGTTAAGGGTCTTTCCGATAACTGTTTCTTGGTACTTTGGTATATTTTCCAACCCACAAAACCGCTTCACGAAAGTATTTGTTTATAAAGTTAAAATTTTTCGAATTTTTAAAATCGCTCCAAAAATTATTTAAAAAAATAAAACTGATATTATAACGATTCTGTATGAAAGTTAAACGGTTCAAGTATGTGTAAAAAAATCAGCGCCAATTAAAATGCCTAACTTTAACCCCAACATTGACGCAAAAATATAACGATATTTCGCGCTGAAAAGAAACAAATTGTGTCATGCCAAAACTGTCAGACCGATTTGGATCGGGTTTTGGAATTTCGTTTTGTAATACTTTAAAGTACTTACATCTGCATTTATAGTAGAATTGGACAATTTCTTACCTGTCAGTTGAACGCATCAAAATTACCTCGATTTTCATCACTTTCATAAGCTGTTTTGGCTATCTAGTAACAAAAATATGATAGGCGCAGGTATCAAAATCTATCTCAGAGCAAATTTCATAACAAACAATTTCATCAGTAATAGTTTTTTCTGTAAACTGCATATTTAAAAAGTTATATTGGAAAATATGGGAAAAACACGTCACTTTTGAGTATTTTTGCGGTTTTTAAATTTTCCTGTCTTTCTTGGCGCAAACTTATATTTTAATTGTATGTATTATTTTCGACCGATTTTTACTAATATCTAATCTACGTCAAGCAACAGCCATATCTCATATCTCGAAGGTTTTGAGCTTAATTCTCTTGGACTATAATGCATATATAAGGATTATGCCACTCATTAATTCAATTTCATTCTAATTCTTTATTGTCTGAGTAGGATAACCCCGTCCACAAGGCAAATTAATTAACTCTATTTAGAACTATTAATAAAATTGAAATTTAAACAAAGGACAAGACAACGTAACATATGCCCTAAATTAATGAGTTGCTTTACACAGGAAACTACATCTAAAAATCCTATCAGTTTTAATTTAATACAACTATTATTAACTTTCAGAAAATCCAAAATTTCTACACTAATAATTTTATCGGTGTATTTCCAACAAAAAATCTTTATATTTTTTTTGTAACGCGAACAGTACTGACACTACAGCATAATTATTTATTAGATATTGCGAGTGTAATTCAATTTCCCGCTGGACGGGGCTTTAGTCCACAGAGCAGTTGTTCTCCGCATTATTATCTCATCAACCTATGATGTATGTGGCCAGTGCTACGTCAACATTCCCTTGCGCTTGTAAGAAACAAATGATTTACGTAGAGTAGCATGCATGCAAAAATAATTGACCAACAGAGAGAAACCAGTTGAAAAAAATATGACTACGTCCATGTTAGCAATTGTACCACCATAAAAAAGTTCTTTTGGGCTAAATCATAATCTTATATTTTGTTGGTATTGTACATTCTGCTTTATCGACAAATACAACTGCTGTAGCAAACAGATGAACGCAAAGTACACCCAACAAGTGCTTTACGTAAAGGTAATGTTGGTTGCCTAAGCTTGCTGATCACGTGGCTTGTAATAATTTATGAAGGCTCTGTATATATTGTTGTACTTTGTTAGACGAAACAGGGTTTCAATTTGCAATCTTAAATAGAGAGGTTCTAGTATGTTAAACAATCAAGAAAGAGAACAGTAACGATTTATTATTATACTTAAAACGATAAATACAGACATGAGCAAAAAGTAAGTGACTATGCATATGTACCACACGACCCTCTCGTTTTTCGTTTCTTTCAAATTCCTCAGGATGTTCACTCCCAAGAGCAGCCCGACGACGGTGCCCCCCAAATGGGCAATGTAGCTTACGTCCCCCAGGTTCTTCATGATGACGTAGTTGTATATCGGATCGAATATCGTCATGATGCCGAAGAGTATCAGTTGTACTGCTGGGTGGCTCATTTCCCTCCAGTTCTAAAAAAATAGAGTTCGATTATACAAAATATACAGGCCTCAACAGAGTGATTTGCCATTTTTTTGACACGTAGTTCGTGATTCTTTTAATTTTCCACTCATAAATCTCCTGGACTTTTCTTTTAAGATCAGGAATTGTCTTTGTCAATTAGTATACAATTTTTTTGGAAGTACTTACCATTATTACTGTGGCAATATGTGCAGTGTAGAAGGCGTAGAATCCACCACTTCCCCCCACTAATTCCGAATGGGGAACGATGACAGAGTGCGCCAAGCACCCTCCTAGAGCCCCAGCGACGTAGATCACCAAGACCCTCCAACTGTGCACCATCTCCAGTGGAATGCCGATTAGAATTTGTATGAACAAATTGGGATACAAGTGGTAGGGACTAGAAATAAAGTTAAACGATAATTGTATAATAAAGTAATATTACGCCTCCCCTTCCCCACAGTCCTAGGGGAATGGCAGATGATTATTTATTACCTAGAATGGACGAAGATATGCGTAACGTAACGCCATATTTCCTCTTTTCTGTAAGGTGTGAACTTCAGTGCCATTTCGATGGGACCTTCTTCGCTTTCCTTAGTTTTAAGACTTAAATTAATGTAATAAAAGGTTATTTGAACTGCCGATAGAATCAGCATCCCCACCGTGTATGCTTTGCATGTCAGTTCTTCCTCATAGAGGCCGGTGTTGGACAGGGTACTCTGCAGTCTTACCAGTTTCTTCGTTGGGGACGTCACCACGAATTTTATGTACCTGGAATTATAATTTCCTTTACTATTGTGCGTAAAACTGTAACTTTATGCTGCCTGCGTAGTGCGTAATAATATCAAGCTTTTTCGCATAAATGAAAATACTTCAACTTCAAATTTTAACCATGTTCCATTCAGGCTAAAGATAATAAAGATATTTACTTAAATTTCTAACGTTGGAATTGACCACGGAGTCTAAAACCGCTCAGGACACACGAGCCAAAGCAGATGATCCCCGTTGCTGTTGCTAGCAAAGGGCCACGGATTTCCCAAAAAAAAAAACACCGACGTTTCGAATTTTTTAGTAAAACAGCACGAAATGCTCAAAAATTGAGCCACGACCAACGGCTGATATGATTGTTGAACACATTCAACGACAGATCAAGATAACACCAGAGATCGGCTAAATTTAGAGAGGCCGAGGGTAAGAGACGACAGCGAAGATCATCATCAAGAGATACGATCGAACGTCGACTATGTATTTCTACAGTACAACCAGGCAAATTACGACTCTTTCATTGTCATTATATTGTAGTAGACCAAGCAAATTAAATTTTTACTCGAAAAAAGTCTTATCCGCTAGATTATTGTAAAATTGTCTAAAGGAACATAATACAAGACATCTCTCGTCTCGTGAGTCAAAAACTTTTATTAGCTAACTTTTCTATTTAAGCAAATAAGTGAGGAAAACAGTTTTTTCACTTTGCAGGGAAAACCATCAATTTTAGCGAAAAGTGACTCACAGACAGCTTATAGGGAGTAAAATTGTCTACAAAATGAGTTAAATTAAAATCGGTTAATAAACAAAAAAGTTATTGCAAAAAAACAAGAAAATTGCCCATTTTTTCATTTGTTTATAACTATCGCATTTATTGTTAAAATTTTATAAAACCTATGACAAGTTGAGGGATTTGTCATACTTTAAAAGTGTGCCAAAAGTGGGCGCTGTAGGTGCAATAGTTTTCGCACAATTCTATTTGTTTATAGCGGATGCTCCAAAAGTTAAGAACTTTAAGCCTCTGTACAGGCGTTAATTTTCAATCAAACATGATTCTGAAAGCGTCATTGTAATGTTAAAGACGCAATTAAACGACCTATTAAAAAATATCACCGTTTTTTTGACATTAACATTCTCAAATTGTGCATTAAAAAACCCTGCGTTTTTCGCTTATAAACAATTTGAATAACATTGTTGCTATTTATGCTATCTCACCGAAAATAGATGCAATGGATAGCTGGCAAAAAAATAGTTTTAAAATAAAAAAAGTACCCTCTACGACCAACAGGAGCCAAGATAATATATTTTTTTTAAATCGTAGCGCAATTGTTTATAAATATTAAGACTTGAATTTTTCGCAAAATAAAGTTTACGACGTAAACTACGATTTCCCGTGAATTTGAAAATAATTTATGAATTTTTACTTTAATTTTACATTTAAATCGTAATTAAATCGCTATCAAAATATTGAAAAAACAAGTTTACTTTGCCTTAATATGTAAAAGAAATAACTTTTTAAATGAACGATAGCTTCATTTATTTATTTAATAATAGTAAAATAATTCCGAAATTGAAATTTTAATTCATATTTCGTTTAACAATAATTTTTGTGAATTATAAAAGATGCATTTTTCTGGGGTTCAAGGCTATTCTACGAATTCGTAAATATGCCCATTGTTATTTTTTCGTCGAGCTACCCCAGTTTAGAGAGTTAACTTTAAAAATTTACTGTCGCCGTCCTAATCAACCAATTTCAATTTTTCGAAAATCATTTGAAAGGTTGAGCGGTCTTTTCTATGTGAAAAAATTTTCAAGTATCTAGATGGACAAACATTTTTGTGGTGTCTCTCACCTATTTATTATTTTACTGATTTGCATTCGTCTATTTTATTTGTCAAATAACCCTTCATTTCTAGTGTGAACATCAATAAATGCATTTATATTTTTTGGTAGCGTGCAACTAAGTATAAAGTGAAAGTATTTTTATCATTCTGGGGATATCCAACCTTTAAACGATTACCACGTCTTTATTTATCTACTAATATGAGTGATAAATGTATAATAATGATAAAAGTTGTGTGATCTCCCAATTTTATGGTTAATGCGATAGCAGCCGGAACAGGAATCGTTCTGAATGAAATGTGTAATACTACGAAGGTTATTTCACAGCAAATGTTAATTAATTACACTTAATATAATCGTAATTTTTATAATTCAAGTGTGGTGCTCTATTTACCAAGTTATTGTCATTATTGTCATCATTAATTGCCGTAATATTTTTTTGGTAACAGTCGAATAAAATTTAGAATATGTATATACTGGGTGTTTTGTAACAAATGGAGCATACTATAGAGCTTGACTGACTTTTGTCTGAGTTACAAAAATATGCGTTGAACTGTGCAAAAATAATTTTTGCGGCACTTTTTCGTCATGTTTTAAGTTTCCTGAGAAAGTATGCCTAGTTTGTTTACAGCAAGTGATGCGGAAGAGCTTGATTTGGCGTAGTTTACGCACAGTAGTATGTTTTTTTTTTTCAATTAAGTAAACGCCTTTGTTTTTAAGGTTATTTGAACCTTAAAATCTGTGAACTCTTTTGAACTAACCTACTTCTAATTCTCTTAAAGATCTTAGTCACTTTCGGATTATTTATCATTTCGAGAAATTCTTCAAAATCCAAAAGTTCGTCGCCGTTGCGGTCGAAATTTTTGTGGATCGCCTTTATCACTTTGTCAGGAAATTTGTGCTCCTCGTGATTCTCTGCGAACTTTTGTAGTTCCTTGAAGCTTATATATCCGTCTCGATTCTTATCACACTGCAACAAAAAAAAATAGTAATAATACAACTAAATATTAAAAAAAAAAATTTTCGAGTCCGTCGATTTTTATTAAAATATGTATAACGATATATACATGTTACTCCAGTAAAATTAAAGTTTGAACGTAAAAATATTATTAAATTGCCAACAGTTTATTAAGGTATCTAAAGTCATATGCCACCAATTTCGGTAGAACGGGGAAAAATCAGTTTTCTAAAATTGGGCATTATTATTGCAAAAAGCTAAGGATGTTAATAAAATTTATGGAAAAAACGGTCAATCCAATGACCAACATGTGTGCCAAAGATCGATTCGATTGATCGTGAAATTGTTGCTCCAGGTACCTATTTGTTAATTCATTTCGATCGTTTTTTGCAATTAATTGTTTAATTACTAAACGTTAATTTTAGAAGTTTATATGGTAGATATAGGTTTTAATTGATCTAAAGAAACGTATCGAAAAAGAAAAATTTTTAAATGTTGAAATTTAGTTACTCTTTAGGCCGAACAAATAAGCCAACCAACAGAGATTTTTTGGCACACTTAAATATTACAGCAAATTTCATGTATTACCTTTTTAAAAATAATTAGTAAATGAAAACCTAAGTGATTTCTCCAGCAAAGTCGTGAATAATTTTTTTTTTAAACAATGAAAACTGCAAAAAATGACATTTTTTGTTTTTTTATAATATCTCGAAAAATACTGATGGAATCGTCTTACTCTCTATAGGACTTTTGTAGAGACTAAAATAGAACCTATAAAATGGTTTTTTGTACGACACTATCGGTTATTTTTTACAGAGAAAATCCGGAAAAACCTCTAAAATAGACCTTTCTTCAAAAATTCGTAACTCCGTCAAATTTGAAGCTGGAAAAACAATCATGTGGAAAATGACAGATAATAATATGTAGTTTAATCGTGCGCAAGATGGTTTCTGTCCGACGCATAGTTTTTACACAATTTGCAATAGCAAATTTTGCTATTTTTTGCAATTTGCCAACTTAGTTAATTTTTTGATAATCAATGAATCAATAAAATGTTTACTATCAATTTTTTTTATGTTTTCGCGTTTTAGGCTCTTCCTCGACTGGAGTATGTTTTTATTAATTTTTAACCCATTTTAAACAAAAATTTACATTTAAATAGTCTCTATAGAAAAATTCGTCCGCCATATAAAATAACGCTTTAATAATAAAACTGTAAACAATTATTGTGCAATATTTGTTTATCGAATATAACATTAAATATAGAAATTAAATGATATCGACATTAAGATTCAAGATGCCAGTTATCCTTGGTCAAATAATTCTTCGCAAAATTAGCATCTCCAAAGGTGCCACGCATCTAATAAATCAAATTCTAATGAACTTTTACAAGTATGTGCCGTAAGATAGTAGACCCACACAATATGCAAATCGGTAATCGGTGTTAGATATAAAATACAGTGTTAGAAAAAATTTAAAAATGTATAAGCAAAGAGTTATGGAAACAATAAACCGCTTTGTTTGGCATGATGTTAAAGTTTTCTTTAAAAAAATCTGTTTATCTTCTAAACGGGTAGACATTGAAAAAACAGATTTTTTCCAGTATTAGTCAGTAGCACAACATTTTTTTTTAAGTTCGCCATAGAAATGATCGCAGGCGACCGGTTTTTAGTATTATACTATTTTTTATGAACTTCAAAACCCTTGGTCTTTGTAAATAGGCTTTTTGGAACAAAGGTTTAGTTGACCAATTATTTTGACTCGCCCTGTATATTTCGGTAATAGAATCTGTATTAGAAAAATATTTGCAACCCATGTCTAATGTACCTACAAACTTTTTTCACTAATGCTGAACTAAAAAAGGATTACTTTCCACTCTTATACATATAAATAGCTATGAATTGTTTATGGATAATATAATTATTTTAACGAGTTTTTTTATCAGTCTAATTTAGTTATATTAAACGTCTGATACTTGAAACTGTGGGATTACTCATAATTATTCAAGAGATGTGTCATCTTTGTTAAATATCTCCATTTTATGTAATTATTATTTTACGGTCATGAGTTCGTTGTAAATCTTAGTTGGACAGTCGCATGGGTCATTTATTTTGTTATTAGTATTGTTATCAAGAGGTCGTGCGTAGTTATGGATAATTATTTCCCAAGAAGTAAATATTTTCATCGGCAGGATTAACATAACCACTACAAAACCTGTTCGGTGCAGAATTTTAATGTTGCAAGCAAAGAATTATTGTCGGTAATTAAAAGGAATGGAATACCAGAAGTATATGTAGAGACACAGAATATGCAGTCGGAGAAGTGACAAAGAACTGGAAACCAACTACAATAATGTTACAGTTTTTTTGAAAATATTCGCTTTTCGCTTTTCCTTGTAACTTCCCTATTTACTTTGAACTGGGACCTTAAAATGTGGACCATTTAAATTTCGATATCGGTTGAACGGGAAGTGATAGAAAAATGACTGGATGTGAAATTTGTCGATTTGTTGGCTTTCACTTACATCTAATGTAGCACTAATCAAAAACGAGCTTTTCTTATATAAACATAGGTCCTATTCGTTTTTGTTTAAAAGTTACTAGCATTTTAAAAATATTTCATATTTCAATCAAGCTCTTGCGTTGCAGGAAATATAGAGTTGGACGCGATTTTTTGTTTCGGCAATCTGAATTTATCACTATAGATGCTAAATATTATATACAATAACATATTAGTTTCCACACTCATAAAAATGGGGGAAGATTGTTTAGAGGGTGGTTAATTGTATAATTTTTACGTAAATTCACGTTTTTCGCTTATATCTTTTTTCCGTTCATTTCCACGAGAAAACAATACAGGACTTTCTTTTTCGTCTTCAAAAGACCTACAATTCTAGCCCTCGAGCGTCAAAAAATATTGATTAAATCAAAAGTTATAAACAGAAGAAGTTTATTTATGACTTTTGAATTAAACATTTATAAGCTGCGTTATTACCAGAACGTTTTGGCATAGCATCCTCTCATTCCTTATCACTGTCTAATTACACACGAAATCTGGAATCGGTAAGTTGAATACTTTACAAGTTATGGCCCTATAAACAAATTAACTAATTAATAGCCTGGGCGATCCCAAGGATCTTCCAAAATCGCATTGTTTTTTTTTTTAAGGTAGATTTCATAATAATACATTGAAATCTATCATTTTTTTTTAAATTTTAAATTTGCAATCTGGATTTTTTTTTATTTTTTAGCCTTAGTTGCAAAATGAAATATACGACACGAGTTATATATTATTACATATTCGGAAAGCTTATGAAAAGAGCTTTAAGTTAAAAAAAAATCGTCAATATTCATTGAAAAACAACGCAGTTACAGACATAAATTTCTACACACACTTGATTTAAAATCCTTCGCATATATAATCACAAAGTAACATAATATAATTTCCATTGAAAAATTTGGAAAATTAGGATTTTTTTTAATAACAACTAAAATCCCAACTTTTGTTTAAATCTTTTAAAATAAATTTAAGAATATAATTTTTTATGGGAAAAATATTTCTTTGAAAACGA